GGTTGCTGTGGAGCTAGGCTAACGGCCACGGCACTCACGTCTAGCCCTGGGCAACAAAGCATTGACTCGCTGTCTCGAAAAAAAAAAAAAAAAAACACGCGTCCTACTTTCACTGAATGTAGACTCCAAAGATGAATAGTAAGGATAAATGGAATGCATTCGTGTCGATTTTAAATGAATTACACATCATGAACAAATAATACCTATTCTAGGAATGGGAAACTGGGTTCGTGTTAGGATGTTTGCTAACGTAGTACATCACAAACAGGTTAGTGCAAAAAAATATATTTGAGAATATGGAATGGTTGTTTCTGTGGTTAGCAGCCAGTGCAGAGAATGTGCAGATACCCACACATAGAAACCAGGACAACTTCTTAACCCTGTGCTTGTTTGAAAACCACAGCTGAGAGGACATTATACATTAACATATCAAAACATTTGTGTTAATGTATGATTAGGTGAAGGCAGACTACTTCAACATCAATTATTTGATATTCTCCTGAAAATTGAAACAGATTAGTAAAATGGAAAAAAGAAATTAGCCACAATGCCAACTGTCAGAAGTATGTTATATTCGTCATGCTTGTAAGACAATGAATGAAAAAAATCATGAATGATGACAAATAATAGTGAACTATTCAGTGATTTCAGTAAGTCAAACCTGCCAGCAATAATAGTTTAGTCAATTAGAAAATCTGATCATATTAAGAACAAAATAACACCTCATACATATAGGTCTTCCATGAATAGTTAATGAATAAATAATTGGACACAGGAAAGGTAACAGGAACCTGCAATATTTGGAGGACAGTGAAGAGGCTATGAACACTGCCCAGAAAATGAAGTATGCAAGAAATGTCTGTTGCTAACTCTTGTTGGATGGAGATTCTAGATTCCAGAAAGAAAGAAAATCAGAGTGAGAGCCGGAAAAGACTAGTGTCGGTGGAAACTAAATTGCCTTCAAAGTATAAGGAATTCACCTGCTCCTTCTTGATGTGCATCTCATAAATAAATATAGGATTGTCCCAGTCTCATTATTCTAGAGATAAAGCCCAGCACACTCATTCCTCTTTTCCTTCTTACCCCACTAGCCCTCATTGTGTCACTCTGACTCTCTCCGATGGATATCACTGAATCTCTCTCTTCTCTGAGATCTTTTCCTGGGAAGCCTAATTGTGTTTTCATGTAGGCTGGGATCAGAGAATTATAGGTGAGAGGCAGTAATATTTTTATCATTTCTATTGTCTGAAGGTTGAATTCCCAGAGTACCTCATTAAATAAATGATTCTATTGCCTTTCCACTCTTCCAACAATTCAGCTCCCATGGCTCACAAAAAAGACAACAGAATGGAAAGTTTCCAGTCAATTCTGTGTCTCCAGAGACAATAGTGGGGAAAGTTGGATTTATTTCCTCTAAGGAGAAGGTCTTCTTCCTTTGCTTTCATTTGAAAGTCACAAGGTTTCCTCTAAGGGAAGTTTAATTTCTATAAGCAGCCCAACTCAGGCACTATCTGTCTGTAATGTGCCAGCATCCAGGAAAGTTTGGAGATTTTATGAAGTTCGCAATGTTGTAGAGGGAAAGAGGCCCTTTGTTCAAAATTTTTTCTTTTGTTTGTATCCTCTGTGATTTCTTTCCTCAGAGTTCCATAGTTTTCCTTGTAGAGATCTTTAACCTCTTTGGTGAAGTATATTCCTAGGTATTTTATTTTCTTTGTAGCTATTGTGAATGATATTGAGTCTTTGACTCCTAGTTTGACTGTAATTGGCATATATCAATGCTACTGATTTATATACATTGATTTTTTTCTATCCTGAGACTTTGCTAAATTTATTTATCAATTCCAGGAGACTCTTGGTGGAATCTTTGCAGTTTTCTAGATACAAGATCATCAGCAAAGAATGATGGTTTGACCTTCTCTTTTCTGATTTGGAGAACATTTACTTCTTTCTCTTGCCTGATCTCTCTGTAGGAATTCCAGCACTATGTTCAATAGAAGTGGTGACAGTGGGTATCCTTGTCTTGTTCCAGTTCTTAGGGAGGATGCTTTCAACTTTTCCCAATTCAGAATGATGTCGGCCATGTGTTTGGCATATATGGCTTTTATAATTGTGAGATATGTTCCTCCTATGTCTAGATTGTTGAGGGTTTTTATCATGAAAGGGTGCTGGATTTTGTTGAATGCTTTTATTGCATCTATTGAGATGATCATATGACCTTTGTTTTTGTTTATGGGGTGAGCCACATTTATTGATTTACATATGTTGAACGCTCCTTGCTTCTCTGGGATGAAGCACACTTGGTCTTGGTGGATTTTTTTTTTAATGTGCTGTTGCATTCAGTGTGCTAGTATTTTATTGAGCATTTTTACATCTATATTATGCTCTTGGTTAGGTAGAACGAACATTGTTAAAATGGCCATACTACCCAAAGTAATTTACAAATTCAATGCAAATTCCATCAAATTACCAACATTATACTTTACAGAGCTAGAAAAAAATAATTTTGTGCTTTGTTTGGAACCATGACAGAGCCCAAATAGCCAAAGCAATCTTAAACAAAAAGAACTAATCTGGAGGTATCACATTACCAGATTTCAAACTGTACTACAATGCTATAGTAACCAAAACAATGCAGTACTGGTATAAAAATAGAGACATAGACCAATGGAACAGAACAGAGGACCCAGATATAAAGCCATCTATCTACAACTAACTAATCCTCAACAAAGCAAACCACAATGTACACTGGGAAAAAGAAGCCCTATTCAATAAATGATGCTGGGAAAATTGGATAGTCACATGCAGAAGAATGAAACAGGAACCCTACCTCTCTACCTCTCACCACTCACAAAAATTAATTCAAGATGGATAAAAGACTTAAATCTCAGGCATGAAACCATAGGAATTCTAGAGGAAAATGCAGAAAAATCTCTTCTATATATTGGTGTAGGCAAATAATTTATGACTCAGACCACAATGGTAATCATGGCAAGAACAAAAATTAATAAATGGGGCTTGATTAAACTAAAAAGCTTTTGCACAGCTAAGGAAACAAGCAACAGAGCAAATAGACAACCTGCAGGCTGGGAGGAAATATTCCCAAGCTACACATTTGATAAAGGGAGAATATCCAGAATTTACAAAGAACTCAAGCAAATAAGCAAGAAAAAACAAACAACCATGTTAAAAAGTGGGCAGAAGCAGACAGTAAAATGGTAGCTACCAGAGGCTGTGCAGTGGGGAAATTGGGTAGACCTTAGTAAAAGGATACAAAATTTATTTTATATAGAAGAAATAATTTCAAAAGACCTATTATACATTGTGATAAGAGTAGTTAAGAACAATAAATTGTATACTTGAAAGAAATGGAAAGATTATATACAGAAATGGGAAAATAATTACATAACATATACTGGTAAGTGTCAATTTTCTGAAATACATAAACAACTAGTAGAGGTCAGAAACAAAATTACAAACTAAACAGTTAAAAAATGAGCACACACTTGAAAACTCATTTCTGCACAGAAGATATGCAAATTGCCAATAAACACATGAAAAGATGCTCAGTTAGTCATGAAGGAAATGCAAATCAAAAGCATGAATAGATGCCACTTCACACCTAGTAGGTGGATATAATCTTTTGGGGGCAAAAAGGAAAACAACAAGTGTTGGCAATACGTTGTAAAACATGTCAGCCACTATGAAACACAGTTTGGCACTTCCTCAAAAAGTTAAAACATACAATTACCATATGACACAGCAGTCCCATTGATAAAACTAGTCCCCAAATAATTGAAAAGATCATCAAACAAATGAAGGTACATGCATGTTCATAGCAGCACTAGTCACAATAGCCCAAAGATGGAAATAAACCACCCCCAAATGATTGGTTGAACAACTTGTGGTTTACTATACAGCAAAAATATTATGCAGCCATAAGAAAAGGGATGAAGCCAGTTAACATGAACCAATAAAACAGCCAAGAAGAATAAGGAAAGGAAGAGAAGACGGAATGAGGGAAAGAAGGAAGGATCGTAAGGAATAAAGAAATAAGGAAGAGAAAAAGCAAGTATCATAAGGCATGAAGCAACATTTTGGAGTTGTGCTGGGCAGTACATCACTATGAATCATGTGAGTGAACCACATTTCATGCTGAGAATCATGTACTTGTGAAAACAGGACAGCAACGTTAGGAACATGAGCGCAGTGTGAGTTTGCCATGTTACGGTTCATCTCAACTCAGTCTCTTCCTTTTCAGAAATGGGGAAATGGAGAGAAAATATCTCAAAGAAATGTTTTTCGGATTAAATTCACACATGTAAAGCAAGAAGCTGAGTTCTCCTAGGATAAGAACGTGGCTTTAACTTATTGTGTGTGTATATATGTATATTATTTTTTATTTCAGCATATTATGGGGTTACTAATGTTAAGGTTACATATATTGCCCATGCTCCCCACCCCCCTCGAGTCAGAGCTTCAAGCATGACCATCCCCCAGACCGTGCACATCTCACTCATTATGTATGTATATACCCATCCCCCACCCCCCTCCCACCTGTCCGACACCCCATAAATGTTATTCCTATGTGTCTTATATTTTGATTTCATTTCTTTGAGGAATAACAAGAACACATCCACATGGAGGTGAAGAAAACATTAACATGCAAGAGGATAATTTTTAAGTGAACTGTGTCAGCACTTGTTATAAAAAGTGTTTTAAATGGCAAGATGGAAAATTCATGAATTGCTGTAAGACAACTGACCAAAAACAGAACTTTAGGAACCATGTCGTGAAGCGACAAATTAAAAAGGAAGTCCTGGGGGGGGGAAGTCATTGAGGAGAAACCTACAAAAACATATTATGCAAAGTCACAGGTGCTTTGGGAATGGGAAAATGAAGACTGTCTTCTAGGGAGAAAAAAACAACCAGGACTCTAAAATTCACATTTGAATTAGGGGCCCATAATGTCTACTTAGTTCTGAAGAAGTCATCTGTCATGGTCAAGAGGCTGCTCTACCGAGCAGTCTTCTTAGGGCCGCCTTCACGTCCTTGTTCCTCAGGCTGTAGATGAAGGGGTTCAGCATGGGGGTGACCACGGTGTACATCACCGAGGCTATGGCGCTGCTCTGGGAAGTAGGGGTCACAGCGTAGCTGAGGTATTCAACCAGACTTGTCCCATAGTACAAGGAGACCACACAGAGGTGAGACCCACAGGTGGAAAATGCTTTGTTCTTGCCCGCAGTGGAGGACACCCTCTTTAAGGAGGACACGATCTTAGAGTAGGAGTAGAGGATCCCTGTGACAGGAAATACGCCTAGCAACACAGTGGACACGTACAGGTAGATGTTATTGATGAAGGTGTCAGAGGAGGCCACCTTGAGGAGCTGAGTCAGGTCACAGAAGAAATGTGGGATTTCAGTGCCTACAGAGAAGGTCAGCCTCGTTATCAGTAGAAGGTGAACCAGGGCGACCCAGAAAATGATGAACCAAGACATCAGGACCAGCAGGGCACAGAGGCGGGGGTTCATGATGACCGTGTAGTGCAGGGGGTGGCAGATGGCCACAAACCGGTCATAGGCCATCACGGTCAGGAGGAAATTATCCAGTCCAGCAAAAATCATAAAAAAATAGACCTGAGTGAGGCATCCCATATAGGAGATGTCTTTGCCGTGTGTGTGAAGGTTCACCAGCATCTTGGGGACGGTGGTGGAGGTGAAGCAGATGTCTACAAAGGACAGGTTGGAGAGGAAGAAGTACATGGGGGTGTGCAGGTGGGCGTCGGAGATGATGGCCAGGACGATGAGCAGGTTCCCGAGTACCGTGACCAGGTACATGGACAGGAACAGCCCGAAGAGAAGGGGCTGCAGTGAGGGAACTTCTGAGAGACCCAAGAGGAGAAATTCTGATACTTCTGTGTGGTTTTTTGCCTCCATGTAGTTGATGTGTCAGCTGGAGTAGACGAGAAAGCAATGTTTAATAAACACCCAACTGGCACCTCGTTGGTTGTGATTACTTTATACAATATCACCCTTAAATGGACGTGCTTCACCCTTTATAGAGTCATTTGAGAGTGTGATTCACTCAGCCAAGTGGTATCCCAAATCCATTTTATGTTATTTTTTAATTTTTTTTAATTTCAGCATATTACGGGAGTACAAATGCCAAATCCATTTTAAACATGTATAGTTATTCAGATTTTCTTTTAATTTAGCCGAAATCTCTCTCTTTCTTTTTCATCCGCTCGCTAGTCTTCATTCTCTTACTTATATTTATGAATTTAATCAATATCTTCTTTTAGGCCGGGCGCTGTGGCTCACGCCTGTAATCCTAGCTCTTGGGAGGCTGAGGCGGGCGGATTGCTCAAGGTCAGGAGTTCAAAACCAGCCTGAGCAAGAGCGAGACCCCGTCTCTACTATAAATAGAAAGAAATTAATTGGCCAACCAATATATATAGAAAAAAATTAGCCGGGAATGGTGGCGCATGCCTGTAGTCCCAGCTACTCGGGAGGCTGAGGCAGGAGGATTGCTTGAGCCCAGGAGTTTGAGGTTGCTGTGAGCTAGGCTGACGCCACGGCACTCACTCTAGCCTGGGCAACAAAGCGGGGCTCTGTCTCAAAAAAAGGGGGGGGTACAGTTGATTGAGCCCCTGAACCGGCATCTGCCAAGTCCGGAGGGGTCGCCCCCAGCGCGGTTTTGGGCAGCGCCCCTCCCCCAGCCCGGGGCGTGTGCACCTGCACCGCGGGCTCCGCCCTGGCAGGTGCGGAGAAGCGAGACAGGCGGCTTCCCCCGTGCGCCCGCGGGGCTTTGTGCGCAGCGATAGTTGGCGGCCGGTGGGTTCGGCGGGCTGGGCCGGCTTAGGTTCATCTAATAAGATCACAACTCCAACTATTCAGCTCTAAGAAACAACGGTGACATAGCACATCTTACATTTTCCTGGCTAGAGCTGGAACCCATACTACTAAGTGAAGTTTCCCAAGAATGGAAAAACAAGCGCCACATGTACTCACCAGCAAATTGGTATTAACTGATCAACACCTAAGTGGTCACATAGGTACTGCAGTAATAGGGTATTGGGCAGGTGGGAGGGGGGAGGGGGCGGGTATATACATACATAATGAGTGAGATGTGCACCGTCTGGGGGATGGTCACGCTGGAGACTCAGACTTGTGGGGGGAGGGGGGGAAAGGGGCATTTATTGAAACCTTAAGATCTGTACCCCCATAACATGCCGAAATAAAAAAAGAAAAATAATAATTAAAAAAAAGATCACAACTCCGGGGCTCGCTCTCCGCGTCCCCGCGGCTGCCAGCGCCGGGGTTGGTGGGCAGGGAAGGGCAGTCCGGGAGGAAGAGACCCCCGCGATTGCGCCAAGGGACCCCTCCCATCAGAGGCCGCTCCCGGGCTTGGTGGAAGAGCCCTGAATCCCATGCGAGCGGCTCCCCCTAGTGGCAGATCCGCAGGCTTGCAGGCACCAGCTGGGATCTACCTTGCTCTTACCCCCACCTTGACGGGGAACAAGGTCCAAGCAACTAACCCTCGGGAGTGGCAGGACCCTTCCCAGAGATCGGGGCATCCAAATACCCCATCCAGGGGACCAGAACCTACCACAGAGACATTACCTGGATACCTGGCTCCTCCATGCAAAGTGCAATGAGTGACAGAGAGGGTAACCCCGCAGCTCAACACAGTGACTTCCATCCCGAGCTACTGGAGCGCGGTGGAGCTATACACACAAGTGCACCCCACCACCTGGGAGCTTAAGCTGGGGGAGCAAACTCACTCGTCTCCATCGGCAAGAGGTGAAGACAACAGGTCAGAGGTCACCCAACTTGACTGCATTGAGCTGGAGCCCATTCTACTAAGGGAAGTATCCCGAGAATGGAAAAACAAGCACCACTGTGTACTCCCCAGCAAATTGGTTTCACTGATCAACACCTAAGTGCGCACATAGGAATAACATCTATCGGGTATTAGGCAGGTGGGAGGGGGGACGGGTATATACATACATAATGAGTGAGATGTGCACCGGCTGGGGGATGGACATGCTTGAAGCTTCGACTCAGGGAGGAAGGGGGGAACAGGGGCGACATACGTAACCTAAACATTTGTACCCCCCATAATATGCTGAAATAAAAATAAATAAATAAAACTGTATATTTTAAAAGTAAAAAAAAAATCAATAAACTAATAAACCATCTCAAGGAATTGGAAAAGGAAGAGCAAATTAATTCTCAACCTAGCAGAAGAAAACAAATAAGATCAGAGCGGAACTGAATGAATCCGAGAACAAAAGAACTATACAGAAGATTAATACCACCGAAAGTTGTTTTTTTGGAAGATAAACAAAATTGACAGCCCTCTTGCTTGTACTCCCATAATATTGTGAAATAAAAATACATACATACATACATACATAAAAACACATGACCATTAAAATAAAATAGAAGGCATGTGGAACAGTGTGTGTTCATGTGTACATGCTTTCAAGTGGGAATATATTGTATTGCCAAAGAAAATAGGATCAACATTCTTTTTTATTTTAAAACTTCTACAAAGCAAGTCATCCTAATACAGTAAAAGGCAAATTTGAGACTTGAAAAAAATGTTTCTATTTCTCATGATAGAAAAAGCATTGTTATTATTAATGCCTAGAGAATGTTAATTGAATTGTTTTTTGCTTTTTGGTTTTTGTTTTTGAGACACAGTCTCTCCACTCTGTCATCCAGGCTAGAGTTCAGTGGTGTCATCATAGCTCACTGCCACCTCAAACACCTGGGCTCAAGCGATCCTCCTGCTTCAGCTTCCTGAATAGCTGGAGCTATAGGTACATGACACCATGCCTGGCTAATTTCTCTATTTCTTTGTAGAATTGGGGTCTCACTCTTGCTCAGTAGGTCATCTCTCTCCAACAG